ATACCTGGCTCCTGGGCTTGTTTTTATGACTAAGACCTTTTAATATTGGTCTACAAGAACATACATGACTTGAAAGTGGAGTGGGGTCTACACAACAATGAAGGGGAGCAGTGGAGGGGGATTGCATCCTAGGAGAGGGGAGTGGTGAAGGAGGGTCAAAAAAAGTTAAAAAAAAAAACTATATACAAACATTCTATTATAAAGCCCATTACTTTGCATGATAATTTTTAACTGGTGAAAATTAAAGGAAACTAGATAACCGAATTCTACCACATAACCAAAGTCTAATATTTCTGAGTAAGTTCTGGAATGAAGAAAACTATTACAGGCACTGGATCCCTACCTTTGTTGGTGCAACATACACAACCACGCCGTCATCGCTCTCCTTCAGCACCTTCTCCATGCAGTAGTAGGAAGCGTAGGTCTTACCAGAGGACGTTGGGGCAACAATCACTGCAGACTCATAGTTATCCACCACATCCAGGAGCTCTCGCTGCAGGGGTCAGATCATGATTTGTGTCAATCAAACAAGCCCTATGCTACCCACAGAGATCAGTCTTTTTCCATTTTGATTTTTCTGAGCCTTGGGGATGGAGTGCTGCAGACACACAGAAAAAATTAAAAGGAAGCTCCAACAGACTACTCATTCTCTCAAGTGATGCAATTTGCTTGCTTTGGAGCAGCTGAGAGATGAGTCTCATGTGCGACAATGGAGTAAAAAAGTCTAAAAAGCGCTGCACAGAAAAGGGAGATGGAAAAGAAGGAGCCAATGAGGAGGACAGTGAAGCAAGTCTGTGGAATGATGGATATGTGGTCAAAGTACACAACATACATGGAAGAAAAGACCGTAATTAAACATGTTCTTGTGTATAATTTATAATAATAATAAAGAAAAATCACTCAAAAATAATGTCAGAAAAAGATCTTATTATTAGGAAGGCTGTTTTTAATAGTTAGGAGTACACAGTGTCTTTGAGAAATACAACTGTTGGAACCAGCCAACCCATATTTTTATGGCAGTCAGCAAATGGTTGAAGCACAGAAACAGCAAATTCATCATTTT